TTGATTCATTTTCTACCCGTTGCAGTTTATTTAAAGCCATAAAATATTTTAGATTGTAAGAATTTCTTTTTTTCTGAGGGGGGGGATAATAATGATTTACTGATACAAGTCCTACTAATTAACCCATAACTGGGGGGAGAAGACTTGGATTTATACCTTTCCCAAAGGCATTTACGTGAATCTAACGAACAGAACGGGAATTTAAAACTTTGTTCTCCGATTAAAAATTCCCAGCCATTATCCATTACACGACCTGTACAACTAAGCTTACAGTACCTGGCATTTCCCAAGCAAGCGGTCACCCATCTAGGTACTGACCAGGTTCGACGTTGCTTAACAAGTAACCATACGGGAACTGGTGTTCCAACGTGATATGTCCGTGAGCTGCTCAGTATGAAGAGATAAAACATTGATGGTAACAAATAAAATTAAATGTCCACTTATCTGTCCCTATTCTGAACATCGGTTCTAGTATGATCACCGAAGTTAAGCAACGGCGAGCCTGGTAAATAACTAGAAGGATGGCCGCCTGTAAACGTGAATGTGCAGGGATATAATGGATAACTGCTCGGAATTGGAAATCGGAGAGCCGAGTTTCAGTTCCAGTCAGGTTCGATATATTCACTTACGCGCATATACCCTTGGAAAGGTATGAATCAAACTCTTCTCCCCTAGCTATGGATTAATTAGTACAATTTGTGTTAGTAAATCATTATTATATCCAAACAATTCTTTCAATCTAAAGATATTTTCTGGGTTTATATAACCTGCAAAAAAGTTCTGTCAATCAATTTTTTTTATTAAATTTTTCAAATTTCCAAATTAGTTATCGGTAAATTTGCCAAAGTTCATCTTCATTTTTATTTTTTCCGAATACCTATTTAATATTGCAACCTTCATTTTCAAAGATTTTTCTGTGTATATTTACGCAACTGGTATTTAATTCCAGCGTTGTCACATTTAATGGAACTAATTTCATGTCACTCAAAGTGACGCTATATAAACGGCTAAATTGAAATTGTTCTTTTATTTTTTTAAACACGGTTCAATTAATAATATAGACAAGTTTTGTCTATTTATTTTAAGTAAGTTCCTTTCATATTGTTTGATAAGCTTAATAACATTATCATTGCATGTTGTTTTAAATGCCTGGCCGCGTACACAATTCCAGAAAATCCTCGTTGAAAACACAACTATACTTAAACATGAAAATAATAAACAGAAACTAAAAATTCTTGAAGCTATATACATAAAACAGTTGAAACCTAACCTGAACAAAATAAACGACAAAATCTCCACAAATATTCTTAAATGCCTATAATTGATAACAGAAACCATTGTTTTATACCAACAGCTTCCCATACTTAATACTTCTTGTTCTCACTTCCGCGTGACGTCACGAGCTGCGATACACGAGTTTATACACGAGTTTGTTATTCCTTTGAAATTTTTCTTGCAATAAAAACAAACTATCATTATTGTTTCGTCCGTGTATTGTTTGATATATTGAAATGTAATTGTCATCTTTGATAATGGCTTATGTAAGCCGAAAGCATTAGATAGGATTAAAACATATATCAATATGGAGATTTCCTTTCGTCTTTCAATAATAATGTTATTAAGCTTATCAGACAATATGAAAAGAACTTTGTTAAAATAGACAAAACTTGTCTATATTATTTAATGAAACATGCATCAATGAAAAATTGCTGCCTAAATATACACAATACACACGCGCGCACACACACACACACACACACACACACATATATATATATATATATATATATATATATATATATCCATATCCTATACGAAACCGTCATTTAGCTTGACGTGCCTTTAACCGATTTGGCCACAGGATACAGGTTCGAATCCTGTTGAAGGACGAATATTTTCTGTGATAATTTGTCGGACATTCAGGCAGGTAAATGTTGTTTAATACTGTTTATTATAAAACAGAGCATTTACTTAAATATTTGGATCTATAAAAAGAATGTATAAACATAAAAATGTCTTAAAATAATTGTCGGACTTTGTCCATTTCATAATGTGTAACGTCATTTGTTTACATTTGATACTCCATGAGCAGATATGAATGTACGTGAGAGATTCATAGAAGATTGCAGTTCAAATACAGTAAATTAGACCTTGCTAACCGAACTCTCCTCTGTGGCCAATATATATATATATATATATATATATATATATATATATATATATATATATATATATAATACTGTCTGCCAAAAGCTGGGACAAATCGAAACACAGATAACGCAGCCCAAATCTGAACTCAACTCGCTTACAAACAAGGCAAGTCCCCGTTGACGTCAGCAAAATATGTTTAATTGTTTTGCAGACCGCCTTCTCTTACCATTTTCTCTCCGTTTTTCGTCCTCTTTGTACTATTTCATTATCTCTGGGAGTAACCGATGAATACGTTTATTAATAGTTATCTGCGGAGTGTATCCAACTTATCTATAGGGGAAAATTGCGACAAACTCCCCCTCCCCCTAGAGTTACTATGTTGATTTGAACCTCCTGGCCTAAGACCAAAGTAATTGCCTACAGCAAACGAACATTTTCCCCCTTTGACTGCTTTCAATATTTAACGTAAACAACATTAACTCTGTCCCATAGTAATTGCTATATATATGCCTATTTTACTTTAGATTATTAGCAATACTTAGCAATAAATATAGGGTGCGACAGGTATTTGAGAATGCATATTTAGCGGGTACTAAATGGCTGACGAGTTATTGTAATGTTATGTGGTACACATCAATTTTTACCATTAGAAAATGTTAAACACTTCAAATACATTGGTTGTTGGATCAGTTATAACAAATTTAGTATTGGAGAAATTGAAATTAAACATAGAATAGGCAGCACTAAGGATAGTTTCGCCCAACTCGTTGTTATAAAACCAAAACAATAGCCGGAGAACTTGAGTCATATTCTTAGATAGCCTCATTAGATCGAGACTTTCTTTAGGAATTAAATCAATGGCGCCAAACCGGTTCAGAAATATCTAAAATGTCAGCTTTACACAACTTTTCCCAGAAGTTTTTTTTTTACCGTTGTTTCATTAAAAACAAAGAAAAGAGTCATGAAATAACGGACCCCTGTATAGGAGCGAATGCTGGACAATCTCTTCACAAATGAACAAGAGACTTGAGGCAATAAAAATATAGTACTACTGAGAATATCATGGTCTGCACATGTGAGCAACGACGAAATTTTAGAAACAAAAAGGATACTTATATTACAAATAAAAAAGAGTTGAAATTTGTAGGATACATTAGTAACGAAAGATAATTTGTCTCGGAATCAAAGACCATTCTATAAATTAATAAACAATCTTTCATTCGTTTGAACTGAAAACCGATAGGTTCTTCCAATTTAGTTGAACTGAAAACCGTTAACTTCTTTCAATTTAACTGAACTGAAAATAGATGGCTTCTTCCAATTTATTAAAGTCCTCAATGGCATCAAAATAAAATCTTGCAACTGGTCTGGTTCTATGATTCAGTGTTTTTAATTCCTTCGTAGTCCACAAACACTGAATCATAGAACCAGACCAGTTGCAAGATTTTATTTTCCGACTTTTTCTGAATTAATTCTTGGTACGGTGTGGTGAGACCAATTCGGTTTATTTCGTCTTTCATTCAAAATAAATCTTTCCCCAACATATATTGTATAGAGAACTGAATGCTTTGTAGGAACCTAGTTCTTGCTCCAATTTGTAGTTCTCATCTTGGGATTTTTCTCTTGCTGACTACTATACATTCTGTCTTACAATTAATGGTTAGTCCTTTCTTCTCGCTTTCCTTTACTATCTTGTGTAGGATTTCCTGTCGTTTTCTTTCTGCATCTGCTATCAACACAGTGTCATCTACGTACCTTATATTATTAAGATCATGTTCATTGATACTAAATTCTGGTACGGTCCCCGGCTCCCTCAGGATAGCCTCGTTGTAAAAAGTGAATAAATCCGGTGAGATGATACATTCTTGTTTTACACTGCTTTCTATTTTTTTATCGACTATCTTTAGTTTTCTTTATATGTTGATCTCAGTTGCCAGAAATGAGAAAAATGCTTATAAAATGGTGTTGAACTTCAAGCACACAATGCACCTGTGTATCATCGAAAACGTCGTGATCTCAATTTTGACCATGGAAAACGCCGTTTTAATAAGAAGTGAAGATGCGTTGAAAGTGCCATTATCTACGATTCAACTGTGGTCAATATACAACCAGGCTATTTCGATATATTCCCATATGATATGTAATTGAATCGTGGGAGAGTAACTGAATCTGGTTGGGCCAAGAACTTTTCAGTACAATATCGTATAAAGAGGAAGAGATGAAAAATAAGATATGATAATCATGGCCTTCTTGTGTATGTGTATGTGTATGTATGCTATCACACTTTTAAGAATATTAAAGTTATGCTTCTTACCAAAATAGCTTATGCCTATTCATATACCTATATAAATATATATAATTATAAATATAAGTAAAGCTTATGATACTTAACAGTGTTGCATTGTGAAAAACTTTAACTTGTTTGGTATTGATATGAAACGACGTAGAAGCGTTAAAAGCCCAAATAACGCTCATGACTAAATAACGCTATTAGTTCATCAATTACTCAATTGATTTAATCTTTTCATTCAACTTAAATGGTTTTAAATAAGGCTTTTGCACTTGTCTGTATTCGATAAGACTGGCCTGAGTCGGACAGGATAGTTACTTTTTGCAATAAGTGCATCGCTGTTGTGTTAATCCGGTTTGATATACTGCTTTCATTTTCTTTCTGCCTTTTCTTTTTATTAAATTGAAGACAACCAAACGAAAGCGGGACTCAGTGCACAGATAACAACAAAGATGGCGCGTCACAAGTGCAAAGAACAAGGGACAATTATGGCGTCAACAGATTCCTTTGGTTTCTGTCTCTGTTCTTTTTTATTCCTAGTCTTTATTTTTATTTTTTGATGTTGCCTAATTTCTTTACTTATAACCAAATTATTTTCCAGATTCTTTTTTTTAATTTGCTTTTCTTTCTTTCTTTCTTTCTTTCTTTCTTTCTTTCTTTCTTTCTTTCTTTCTTTCTCCTAGTTATGTTTCTTCTTATCTACTTTCTTTTTTACTGACTTTCGATTTATACTCGATCTTTTCTTATCACTTTTCTCTTTCTTTCTTTCTTTCTTTCTTTCTTTCTTTCTTTCTTTCTCCTAGTTATGTTTCTTATCTACTTTCTTTTTTTTACTGACTTTCGATTTATACTCGATCTTTTCTTATCACCTTTCTCTTTCTTTCTTTCTTTCTTTCTTTCTTTCTTTCTTTCTTTCCCACCTCTTTTTCATTTTTTCTTTCTTTCTCCTAGTTATGTTTCTTCTTATCTACTTTCTTTTTTTTACTGTCTTTTTCGTTTTATGCTCGATCTTTCCTTTTCCTTTTTTGTCCTTTCTGTTTCTTCATTATTTTCTTTATTTTTCACATATTTCTTTTTGTTCACAACGGCACCTGAGTTTAAATCTTTTCTCCTTAGATCTTCGTATTATTTCTTTCCTTTTCATCTTTTTTCCTATTCCTTTCTCGACACGGTTGTTTGCAGATCACTCAACAAAAACAAACAGCATCAAAAGTGACAGTAACGGTAAAAATACTCGTTAAAAATTTGTTTTTCCTCCGTTTATCTTTTCCCTTTTGCCAATTTATATCGTTTTCTTCTTTTGTTTTTCATTCCTTCTTCTTCATCGATTTTTTTTGTTATTTTATTTTATTTTTATTCTAGAAACATGTTTGCCTTCTTGAATAGGCCAAGCAAAATGGTGGATCGCTGGCATAGCGGTGATAAAGATGCTTGTCTAAACTGTGAAACTTAACTCGGTCGTAGGGGATGAACAAAGTCTTTTACTATTTTCCCGATGACGATGGTAGTAGTAGTATTAGTATTAGTATTAGTAGTAGTCGTAGTAATAGTAGTAGAAGAAGAAGAAACAGATATAATATGATATGAAAAGGATAAGAAGGAACAATATATAATATGAAGAAAAAGATGGAAAAGAAGCAAGAAGATATGGCAAAAAGAAAGAAACGAAAAAAGATATAACACGATGAAAAAGAAGGAAAAGAAAGAAGATATATGGAGAAAAAAGAAAACAAGACAAAAAGTAGGGGAAATAAAATTACGAAAAAGAAGGAAAAGAAATAATAATAATAATAATAATAATAATAATAATATCGGAGGTTCAAAAACAAAACTTATAAAAGCAGAAAGAAGAGGTTTCTGGTGGATAGGAGCCGTAGATGAACAAAAGGGAGGGTAACGGAACGCTGTCTGCTATACTAAACATATTTCTAATAACAGGAGATTAGGAAGTGGCTATCACTAACAAGCCAGTAGGGCTTGTGAAAACATGAATGAAGATAGACGGATATTGGTTAGGGTGCGTTAAATGGGTTTCAATGGAAATCTTGTGGTTAGGCACGTCTGTAAATGAAAAAGAGATGCTGTAAAAGAAGTGATGCGAAAGAAGGAAAGAAAATGGAAGTGTGTTTTGGGTTGGAAACAGAGAACGAGAGACTTTGCAGAGAAAGCGAAAGAGAGTGAGTAGAAAAAGCAGAGAGAAAAAGTTCAAAGAAAGAAAGGGAGTGAGGGGGAAAGGACGTAGAAAGAGACATCAAAAGAGGTTAGAAAGGATAGAACACACACGTACACATACACACACGCACACACATATATATATATATGCGATAACGGTATATAATTTTTTATATATATCAAGAACAATTTTAGGTGAAAGAAGTATGACAAAATTGAAAAAGAAACTTCGTTTGGCGCGTTTCATCCTTTAGAACTTCATCGGACTAAGTTTATGGTTACGTTGATGCGACTGCACATGCGCATGAACAAAGAAAGACGCTGAGAATATAAAATTTAATTTTTTTTAATATGTGTTTTTGCTATATAATCTATCCGTAATGAAACTGAACACAATTTTGATTTAAAAAATATTATTCTAATTAAAAGAGAAAACAATTTACTGAGACGGAAATGTTCCGAAAGTGTTTTAATCGCTAGATTTGCGTCCACAACGTGTCACCCTTCTTCGGAGATTTTCTATTATGACAATATGGGATAGATAATAATAGAATTGATGGAAACGTAAACAAAAAGAAAATGAATCAAATGAGATCGATTAGATTATAAACCCAAAACACATATTAAAAAAATACATCCTAGATTTAAAATTCCCAGCGTCTCTTTGTCGTGCGCATGTGCAGTCAAATCAACGTAAGCATAAACATAGTCCGATGATGTCCTAAAGGACGAAACGCGTCACATGAAAACTTTCACATGAAAAAACGTCTATTTCGTACACATATTCATGTCAGATGCAATTTTACCAAATTACCGCTTAGCGGCTGTCTCTAACAAGGCAAAATGATTATGGACTAACATAACAAGGCAGGAGTCATTACTTTCGCAATGACATTTGTTGATGATATGGATTATATGATTTATTAGAATTGAAATAATTTGTAAAGCATTTGTTAGTAAAATAATTTCCAATGATTTTCTATAGTAAAATGATGTATTTTATAGTTTTTTTTAATGAAATAAATATTATGCTTTTAGTATTTACTGTGTCTTTTTAGATGTAGTGTTTAGAGTGAATGAATGTTTTGACTTGTTTACTTAATAAATCTTACCTGTGCAACGACAGGTACAGAAAACGAATTAGTAAACAATTTCAAGCGGATTCCAAAAAAGCTTTTTAGTTTTAACATTTTCTCTGTCTCTCGATGTGTAATCATTAGAAAGAAATTGTGTCATATTTGTTTATTAAATCCTACGTGTGATATCACTGGTTGTATAAAAATTTAGTATATTATAAATTTTAAACTGATTTTTTAAAATTCAATTCACCCCAAGCAAAGCAATAATGCTACTAAGACGCAAGGTGGCTACTGGGGATGTTGGGAATGTTTTTTTTTTCAAACACGGTTAACCTATAACAGCCTCATTCACATTTAAAAACTAGCTAAAAATAATCAAAGCAATAATAATAATAATAATATTAATAGTAATAATAATAAAGCAATACTCAATAATATCAACTATGAACTCAAGAAATCCTAGTAAAGAAAATGTATTCTCTGGCAGGGATCGAAACTGCGCTCCCTATCTAAGGGAATCCACACACAAACACATTCACGCATCCACACACACAACTAAAAGTGGACAGTCAACACTCAGAAGCTACAGTCTGTTTCATACTCAATGCAATCGTCAGGCCATATGCGTTGTACTTTTACTCAACTATTTATATATTCAGGTGAGTAATACATTGTGGATTGTCGATTGTATTATTCTAACGGTTATTTTGGTTGGCGGTAACGGTTATGTTTCCAATTATTCTAGAGGCTATTGAGTGGGAATAATTATGGGTCCGGTCCAGTTTTTTGACTGTTTATAGTATTGTTTGTTAACTTTTTAAAGAATTTATTATTCGTTATTTTATTGTTGGTTGTTATTATTACTTTTACTTGTGTCTATGTGTACTTGTGTTTCTATTTACATACGCTCTATCTCTTATATAGAATACTTTAATCCATAAATATAGCATACCTTAAAACTATATTTTATATATATATATATATATATATATATATATATATATATATATATATATATATACACTAATATTCCATGGTTATAATTTATTACATTGGAATCGTAATCAGACCATCAGACCTACAAATTCAAAAATGAATTTGTAGGTCTGATGAATTGGATCGTGATTACGATTCCAATGTAATAAATTATAAACCATGGAATATTAGTGTTTGGGCCTTTTATATCATATTCTAACTTTGTCCTGGATATTGAGTTCTACCTGGATACTATCCTCTTGCAAAATTATATATATATATATATATATATATATATATATATATATATATATATATATATATATAATATATATATATATAGACGACTGATATTATCTATACACACGCGCACACACACACACACACACACACATGAAGTTGTGGTTGTCTATGTGAATGATCAGTGCACTTGGAACTATGCTAAAACACTTCCTAGATATTTGAATTTTTGTATTTGATTTTCGTATCTCCGATTTGCAATTTATACTTGGGGCTCATCCCTTAAACATTAATTGCTCTCTACGTTTTTCTATCTCTTGTTACTCTAAACAACGTTTGACCATTTAGTAGTTGGGTTAAAACAAAATGATAATGATGATAATGAAGATGATGACTTTAAATGTAATCTTTCATTATCGTTTATATCTAGGGTATCTGGATTCTAGATTTTAGTCGCATTAGTTCGTTGGGTGGATTAGATAAGTAATCCCCCATCTCATATTTTCCTGTTTCTTAGCACTCAACTTAACTTTTGGAATACATTACCATTTTCCCATTCCTCGCTATAAAGAAAATCCTTAGGGGAAGGGCGGCTTTATAACTTTTGCAAAGGCATTCATACAAATTCTCGGCTGGAATTTGAACTCAGATCGTTGATTTCATTTTGACAAACTGTTAACCGTGAACTGACATTTCCCATCGGCAGTTTTCTAAACACTCGTAATCTTTTTACCTTTTCTTTTCAAAACGTAGTCAATCATGGCTCGCTACATGGCTTCTTGGGAAAGTGGAATGGCATCACATCGCTTTGTTCATGTATTCAGAATTGTTTATTTATTAGACTAGGCGCCACCCAAAATTACAGAAACCAGTTTATCTTGTTATTTAATCCATTTTTAGAGGCGAAGAGGACATGCATGTCTTTCTAGAGGCATTAGCTCGAAAGTGAACGCAATAGTCTTGGGGGAAATTTGAAATCGACTTGCCAATTCTGTTGTCTGTAGCAATAATCGTTATCTGCACATCCGATACACTAATTATTGAACTAATATATACAAGTACTACATGGAAAAGGAATTCTTCATTCCTGTAGTATCCTTAAAGAGGTTACAAACAGACAAAGGTGGTACTCGAGTGAAGGAAAAGCAACACGCGCGTAGATAAAAGAAAGAGAGGTTAATTGTAAAAGTGAATACACTAATGAAAGACCGAGAATCGAGTAGCAGGCTAGTAATTCCAGAAACAAGGATATTTACTTTACCTTCCTGCGAGGCAGGATGTGGCACAAGGCCGTTTTTTAATGCGGGGCAAAAAACCGAGCCCGTAGGCTTGGGCAAAATTGCTCCGTAGACCCCGTATACACGAGGTTGGGTAGCTGACTACCACCCTAGACGGGACTCTGCCATTCGACATAACCTCGTCTGGGTTCGTCTCTGCCCGAAGGTAGAGAGTTCGACCAGCACAGTTGGAGACGAATCTCCAACTAATTGCCGAAGCAAGGATATTTACCTTACCTCCCCGCGAGCAGGATGCGCCTTTGTAACGCAGGCAATGCGTAGGCTCGGGCAAAATTCTTCCTTTTGTCTACCATCCCAGACGAAACTCCACCGTCCGGCAATCGTCTGGGTTCCGTCTCTGCGAAGGTAGAGAGTTCGATTCAGCACAGTTGGAGACGATCTCCAACTAATTGCCGAAGCAAGGATATTTACCTTACCTCCCCGCGAGCAGGATGTTACAAGGCCTTTTGTAACGCAGGCAATGCGGGTCGGGCAAAAATTTTCCGTAGACCCCTGTATACACGGGGTCGGGTACCACCATCCCAGACGAAACTCCATCGTCCGGCATAGCCTCGTCTGGGTTCGTCTCTGCCCGAAGGTAGAGAGTTCGACCAGCACAGTTGGAGACGAATCTCCAACTAATTGCCGAAGCAAGGATATTTACCTTACCTCCTCGCGAGCAGGATGCGCTACAAGGCCTTTGTAACGCAGGCAATGCGTAGGCTCGGGCAAAAATTCTCCGTAGACCCCGTATACACGGGGTCGGGTAGCTGTCTACCATCCCAGACGAAACTCCACCGTCCGGCATAGCCTCGTCTGGGTTCGTCTCTGCCCGAAGGTAGAGAGTTCGACCAGCACAGTTGGTGACGAATCTCCAATCAGTTGCTGAAACAAGGTTATTTACTTTATCTCCCCTCGAGCAGGATGTGACACAAAGCCGTTTTTAATGCGGGGGAGGGGTGCAAACCGAGCCCGTAGGAACGCGCAAAAATTCCCCGTAGACCCGGTAAAAATGTGATCGGGTAGCTGTCTACCACCCAGACGAGACTCTGCCCTTCGGCATAGCCCCGTCTGGGTTCCTATCTGCCTGAAAGCAGAGATTTCAACTAGCACAGCTGGAGACGAATCTCCAACTAATTGCTGAAGCAAGCCTCCATGTATCTTATGTGCTCACTATATATTGCTACTGGTATAGTCAGTTCACATAGGTGATAGAGAGTTTGGGACATTCCATTACAAGAATTCCTTATGCCTTAAGTCTACCATTTTTCCATGCTTTGAATATTGCCACATATGGTCCGATGCTCCTGCTATATATTTAGAAATTCTTGATAAAATCCAAAGGAGAATCAGCAATGTTATTGGTCTTGACCTAGCGTCTCAGCTTCAGTCACTTTCCCACCGACGTAATGTAGCTTCTCTGTGCCTTGCCTATAAATACTTTCATGGTAATTGTTCGGATGAACACTCTGCTATGTTATGTCGAAGGGCAGAGTCTCGTCTCAGGAGACAGCTACTCGAACCCATTTTTACGTGGTCTACGGGGAAGTTTTTAACGAGCCTACGGGCTCGGATACCCCACAATAAACTTGGCCTTGTGCCACATCCGTCCGCGTGGGGCGGTTAGTGAATATCACAATCTGCTATGGTACCCAGCGCAGTGATAGATTGTCAACAAGATCTCATCAATTCACATTTGAATTGGCTAGATGTAACCGTAAGTTCTATGCTAACTCACGCGCTTATCGCATGTCGAATTCTATTCTGGCTCCATGCATTCCAGTTAACTTTGATCTTCAAAAATGTAAATGCAATTTCAATCGTTATCTGTTTCTTTCTCTTCTTTTATTGTTCTCGCTCCTCAATAATGTTTCTCTTTTTTTCTCATTCTTTCATACTCAGTAAACCCTTATATGTTAGTGGCTTTATTGCCTTGCATGGGGTGAAATGATTAAAAAAAAAGCTCTAATATTTAAGTAGTATAGATATCCACTTGTCATACTTAATATCTCAATTTTACCAGCCCCTATTTAGCGCTGCTCATAAATTTCGCCTTTGGGGAGCCCACCTCTGCAGGAGCTTATATGGCGTAAAATCAAGCTAGCCGCCCCCAGGCAATCTTCTCGCCCAACCTTCAAATATCTACCATCCACGTTCCCGCAGCTTTCACACCCTCATCGCCGCACGCCAACCAATCCCGCGCCCTCTTCCTGACCTCTACGTCGCCGATTCGTTTTTCTCTTTCTCTGTAGAGTGGGGTTATAGTGTGAGCTTTAGGAATAATTAAGTGAAGTAATATACAAGATGAGAAAGTGTTGATTGCAAACGCAGAAAAGAATCTCGAGGAACACCTAGAGAAGCTATTAAAGGAAAACGAGAAGAAAGGACTATGCATCAATTGTTAGAAGACAGAATTTGTGATTCAAACCGGATCGGTCGTTACCAGGGTAAACAAGGGCAGCGTCCCTCAGAGAGGCATCAGTCTGGAGTGGAAAAATCTGTCACTGGAACAAACTCTTCCCCCAACAATGAGACACCCGGTCACTCAAACCCGATTAACTCCAACATTGAACCTGGTGATTTAATGTCAAATCAATTAATAAAAAGAATGCAAACGAAATGGACTCTCGAAGGGTATAAAGAAGTTATAGCATCTTTTTCCACTGCACTCGAAAATCGGCAAAAGAACATCACAGATCAGACATACCAAATATAGAGAGAAACGGCAGGAACTAAAATAAGACCCTATCTCGACCTTGATATGCTTGCTAATGTCCACAGGGAGACATCACGTGACAATATATGACAAAGTACAATCAGTCATAGCCCAAACAAAAATTGAGGCAAGAGTGGAAATATATAATATGACAGAAGATGAGATACAAACTAAAATAAATGAAATACGAAATAATGATCTCTCAGGAAATAAAACGAAGAATTGTGCACCTGAAGAATACCGTAGAATGGTAAAAACAAAAGCCAAAAAAAAAGAAGAAAAAAAAAAAAGTAAACAAAGGAATCGATTCTGCAACCTGAGCAACTTTTGAAAGGATAATTGAAATTCAAAAATGTTGTTGAATGAATCGTCAGAAAATTCGGGGTAATAGTAAAAGCAATGAAATTGAATTGGTAGTTTTAACTTACGATATGTTTCAGTAAATTTCATCAGTCAAGTGTGTAATGAAAATCTGTATAAAATAAAAAAAAAGTATTGCTAACATTGCTACCACAGGAATACTTTGAAGATAGTTTAACTATAAAAATGCGTCGAAAACAAGTAAGAAATAGTTCGTCATGGTTGTAAATTAATGAAAGCATTACTGATTAGTATTAGGCAGGGTATAATATTTATCGGAGGAAATTTGATACAGCGGCCATGTTTTATGATTATCTGTTTATATCAATAATGGTTTATGTTATGGGATCTTACCCATAATAACATAATGGACTATTCCATACGTAATAAATACTGCGCCTCAAGAGGAAGCAGAGAGTCAGCCTGAAGTCTGGAGTGAAGTCCGTCAGGAGTCTGTCAGTCAGTCAGAGCGAGCGAATCAGTCAGTCGAGTCAGAGGCAGTCTGAAACAGAGTCACGTTCAGACAATTACTACTAAACCTGATTGCTCGTACTAACACTTTCTACCTCTCTGTATATATTCCTGTTTGTAATATATCTGTGTTATTCCATGTACGTGTTCGAGTTCTTCTTTATTGGTTCTACCTTGGACCATCACTGTGGTACAAGGACCTGGACCATAACAGTTTAATTTAACTATTTTTATGGGATGTTATATTTTATTTTTCTGTTTTATGATCAGACACAGTTTTATTTTCTCAGTGCGATGAAAGGAGAAATTAGAGAAAAGAAAGAAAAGTGATCATATTTTAACATTATCTGATATAATTTAGTAATTAAGTGATAAATTCCTGGACACAGATATGCGTACGGTGTTGTATATTAAGATCAAACACGTGGATAAACTGTCCAAAATTAACTTCTGCTGTTTTTGTTCAAGTACTTTCGATTGTAGTGGGGCCGAGTGATTAGAATATTCACTTTCCGACCCGGATTCGAATCTTATCATGGTCGATTTATCAGTTGGTGTAAGAAGTTGTTATTTTTCCGCTAATCCACGAATTGTTTTTGCTGCTCGACCGATCCGGAAGGGTTTGGAATCAGTATACGTATTCAGTAAAAGGATGAGCCGGAAATGCGATTTGCAGGTCGGGACACTAAAATCAAGCAGGTGCGGAAGTTTAAATATCTGGTAAGTGTTTTGACGGAGGACGGTACGTGCGACGCTAAGATCCGAAGACCAAAGATGTATTCCAAAAGCTGGGAACAGTACTGCGAGACAGGAGGATTTCTTTGGTGACAAAAAAAAAAAAAAAAAAAAAAGAAAAAGAGTACTGAGCTGCTACGTGACATTTGTCCTCCTATACGGCAGCGAATGTTGGACGATCTCCTCAAAAATGAAGAAGCGACTCGAGGCATCGGAGACGTGGTTCTACAGAAGGATGCTAAGGATATCATGGAGCGAGCATGTGAGCAACGATGAGGCCTTGGAGAGGATGCAAGCAAGGAGGAAGCTTATACTTAACATAAGGAAGAGGCAGATGAAATTTCTGGGACACGTAATGAGAAAGGAGGGCCTGGAGAATCTGATACTCACAGGTTGAATAGAGGGAAAAAAGAAACAAGGGAAAGCAACGCATGACATACCTGACGCGCATAAGCAAGTGGATGGAAAAACGTTGACAGAGACACGAAACTATTGAGAGCCACAAGGGATAGGGTGAAGTGGAGAGCCATGATCGCCTACGTTCTGATAGAACACGACACATAAAAAGAAAGAAAGATATGTTAAGTCCTACCAACTATTTCTTTGTAAGCCGAAATGTTTTGTGGCATTTAATGTTATATTTTTTGTTTGCATATAACATTAATTTTGGATTGTATATTCTTTAGTGGTTGTGCACATTTTTGTACTCGATTATTACTCCGATGAAAAGCAACCTATAAACTGGTTTAGCTGTTTTTAATCGTTATATTTCGGTATTAATAATTCATGGTAATATATACATTTTGTTGCTCCTCTATTGTGACGGATTGTTGCTTTTTTGCTCTGAATGGACTTTTAATGTTTGTTTTTATTGGCTTAATAAAATTCCACGAAAAAATTTAAATAAATAAACATAAAATAAGATGGTTCGTCACTGCCTGTTGGGCTTAATTTGTTAACAGCAGTTCAAGAGATACGCTGAATTATATTTTAAGATTATATATGCTGGATACTATTTTGAGAACAATTATATATATATATATTTTTTTTTTTTGTTTATACGTTATTTTTATACATAAAATTATTTAAGTAAATGCTCTGTTTATAATAAAAGAGTATTGACATTTACCGGTCTGAATGTCCGAGAAATCTCAAAGAAAATATGTCTTCCGACAGGAATCGAACCTGTATCCGACACGGAACCGCCATATAGCCTGACGTGCTATACTATTTAGCTACAGGGGAAGCGTCTGGTTAATATATTGTCATTTGTTTACGTTAAGATACGCTTCGAGCAGCTATAACCGTTCGAGAGAAATCATAGGAAGCTTGTAATTCAAAAAAACAATAATTTAACCTTGCTAACCAGACGCTTCCTCTGTTGCGAAATTGTATATTATATATAATTATATTCATTTTTATTATCTCATAATATATATATATATATATATATATATATATATATATATATATATATATTTTATTTTAATTCAACGTATCTCTTGAAAAGAGATGGTATTACGACTATTTATTGCATTCGTAGATGGCATTGATTGTTGGACAATCTCCTCGCGGATTAGGAAGAGACTTAGGGCATCAGCAATATGGCTCTACAGAAGGATGCTGAGAATCACATGAAATGAACATGTGAGAAATGACGAAGTTTAAGAGAAAATGGAAACAAAAAGGACACATATTTAAAATCGGCGAAAAATTATTGTGGTTTCTAGGGAACATAATGAGAAAAGAGGGCTTAGAGAATTTGATACACACAGGCCAGATTGAAGACAAGAGTGACTGAGGTAAAGAGCGGATAATCTACCTAACGAACTTGTGCATATGGTTGGCAGAAGTGGAATTAGGAAGATTGTGAAAAGACAATCTTTACTGTGAGCTACAAAGGACAGGAAATTATGGAGAGCTATGATCACCCAGGTTTTGAAGGAACACTGCATATAGAAGAAGAATAGGTAAATAGAAACATCCAATGTCCCAACGAACGAAGTAAATTACATAAAAGCGCCAATTGTAAATTGCTTTTTTTTGTAGAGGCCTTTATGGCCGAACGGTTTAATCATTCCTGGGTAATATATTGATTTCCCAAGATAAAAGTAGTGCGGGTTCAATCCCTTCCGAGATGTACATTTTCTTTAATAATACATTCTTTTGTCTAAGCCGGTAAGCAATAAACGGGTATATTATCTCAAACAAATTTATCCACTAAAGTAACGATGATAGTAATAAAAATGATGTTGGATTAAAATCTATCATTTACTTTCAAAATATCTATATAAGTATGTAAATATTTGTTATGGGACCTTACCCATAATAACATAATGGACTATTCCATACGTAATAAATACTGCGCCTCAAGATCGGTTGAACTCTCAGCCTTCGGGAGGGGAGTCACTTTCGGGGAGGTAAACCGACCCTGAACCCGTTTATACGGGTTCAAAGGGCATCATTTTTGGCCGAGTCTTTGTGGCGGGGTGACTAAATACTGTTCAGTATTCAGTTGAGTGAGGTCAGTCAGAAGTCCGTCAGTCAGTCAGTGCGAGCGAGTCTGTCAGTCGAGTCAGAGGTAGTCCGAAACAGAGTCGCGTTCAGACAATTACTACTAAACCTGATTGTTCGTACTAACACTTTCTACTTCTCTGTATATATTCCTGTTTGTAATATATCTGTGTTATTCCATATCCGTGTTCGAGTTCTTTATTGGTTCTACCTTGGACCTGGACCATAACAATATTTATAGCGGTTGTCTATAGATAGAATATCCTTGCATCAATTTGATTCGTGCACACGTATACCCATACCTTCAAATAAACATATTCATGATATTCACAAAGTTTAGATTATTAAGGTACACGGTCACAAGTGTGGAGCACCCAGTGAGGACAAAACTCACTGCAAGAGTTAATTGATCTCCGAAACTAGCGTGCTAACCATTATGGCACAATTGGTGCAAGTA